GCCCTGGGAAAACAAAAAATTCTCTCATTCCCATAGGATTTAAGGAAGCAGCAATTCCTCAGGAAAAAAAAAAATTGGGGGGATTTTGGGGGGTTTAATTCAATCTTTTGTTAATTTTTTTCCATTCAGGACCTAATTCAAGAGGTTCAGGGTTGGAATTGATTTTTCCCGTGGAGAATTCTCAGGTTTTTTTAAGGAAAAGTTGGGGAAACGTTACTGGAAAGAAGGAGATGGATTTGGGGCAAATTTGAGCTGTTTTGGTTTGGCCAATGGACCCCATCCCACCTGGGCCCATCCCAGAATTCCCACAGCCGGAATTTTCCCCCAAAATTCCCCCAGGATTGGGAAATTCTGGGAAAAATCCATGGAAAAGGGCTGGAATGTCCTAAAAAAAACTCACTTGGGGTCTATCTCAAAAATCCCCACCCCAAAAATTCCACTATTTTGGTAAAAATTGGGATTTGGAACCACAGCCTTCACCCAGAATTCCCAGAAATCGCCATTTTTGGGATAATTCCCTGATTTTTGTGAGAATTCCCGAAGCACAGACACAGAGTTGGTGTTAAAGGGTCGATTTTATTCCCAAAAAAACATCGGATTCGGCATTTTTTACATTTCCGGAGGGGATAAAAAAAAGGGGGAAAGGATGAGGATGGAGCAGCTCCTGGAGATCACTCGAAACCACTGGAAAAACGGGAAAAACGGGAAAAATGGGGGTTAGAGGGTGGAAAATCAGCTGGGTGGGTGTCCCAGTTCATCCCAGTTTAACCCAGTTTATCCCAGTACCTGACCACGGGGGTGATGTCCCAGTCCGTCCCAGTCCATCCCAGTTTATCCCAGTCTATCCCAGTCCATCCCAGTCTCTCCCAGTCCATCCCAGTTTATCCCAGTTTGTACCTGACCATGTGGGCGATGTCCCAGTCCATCCCAGTCCATCCCAGTCTCTCCCAGTTTGTCCCAGTTTATCCCAGTCCATACCTGACCACGTGGGTGATGGCCCAGTCCATCCCAGTTTATCCCAGTCCATCCCCAGTGTCCATCCCAGTTTGTCCCAGTCCATTCCCAGTCCATTCCCAGTCCATCCCAGTCCATCCCAGTCCGTCCCAGTCCATCCCAGTC